GACGAGAACCTAAGAATTGCGGAAACCACATCTATTGAGACTTTGAAGAGATTCTGTCATACAATCCATGCAATATACGGCAGCGAGTACCTTCGATCACCGACACCAGCTGACCTTGCAAGGCTCTTGAGAAAGGGGCAAAAGCGCGGTTTTCCGGGCATGCTTGGGAGCTTGGACTGCATGCATTAGGAATGGAAAAATTGTCCAACTGCTCACCATGGAGCTTATGTGGGCCACCATGGTCGTCCAACTATTATTCTTGAGGCTGTAGCTTCATATGACACATGGATTTGGCATTCTTATTTTGGAATGCCCGGTTCACACAATGACCTTAATGTGCTTTACTCGTCACCCCTTTTTGTGCAGGTACTTGAGGGGCGTGCACCAAATGTTCAATTTATTGTCAATGGTACCGAATACAACCAGGGATATTATCTTGCTGATGGGATATACCCCAAATGGTCAAATATTGTTCAAACAGTTTCTCAACCCCAGGGTCGGAAGAAAAAACTTTTTTCAAGGAAACAAGAGGTTACACCAGCATGCATATATGTACTTTCAGATCTCAAAGATCGAGGCTTTTGAGTTACAAAGACAACCCAAAAACAAAATAGATCAAAATCAAACCAGAAAACACAAGGGCTAACAGTGAGGAGTTAGAGCATCCACAATGGGGATGTAAATTCGGGGTTATAAAGCAACTTTTACATCCTTTTACACTTCCGGAGGGTGTGAATATGTTTTTTGCTCCAATGGGAAACGATGTAAATCTAAAGATGTATAACGTTTTTGTGTTAAATTTTTATTTTGTGTTAACTTTATAAAATTAATTTTTTTGTAGTAGGTTAATTTTATTTTTTCAAACAAATAGACCTAAAAATATTTAAATTCGGAGAAGATATGATTTTATCCAAAAAGAATCGTTGGATTGTGAAGTACATTTAATCTGAACCGTTGGATTGTAAAGTGCATTTAATCTAAACCGTTGGTATATTATCACGTTTTTTGCACACAATTCAACATCCATTATTATTTCTGATTTGCACACAATTCAAGATACGACATGATAGAATTTGATCTCATCTTCAACCATTGGATCGTATTCGCTTATCTTCATCTCAACCCTTGGATCATATTCTCTTTTCTTCATCTCACCCCTTTGATTCTCATATCAGATATCATTGATTTCCTATAAATATCTTCACTTCATCAAACCTATCTCTACCTTGACTTCAGACCCAAAAAAAAAAAAATTCTCTACCTTTACTTCATCAACATCTACGGTTGACCACTTGATTGCATTCTTCAGAACTGCAAAACAATGTTCCAAACGAAATGGAGGGCCGTTCTCATGGTACAAAGTTTTTGCTAGGTCCACCTATAGAATGATAAAATAAATTTAAAATTAGTGAATCAAAAATACAACATTTAGAGATTAATAACAAAATAGATTTACCTTGTTCAGCTCACTGGATCCACTTTTATTTTCCCTATCCGCTTCAACGAGACACTCCCAATACTTCTGACATCGTGGCCGAATGAAATTCCATCGGCATTTGAGGCTGTTAGAAGTTCGATTGGAGAGGCACAATTCAAAGAATTGTTTCTGAATCCTAGCCCAAAATGCATTAGCTTGTTGGGAGTTTCCAATAATTGGATCTTCACTAATTGCTAGGTATGCATGGCATAGAGCAACATCTTCCTCAGTGGAAAAGTTTGGCAATTTAGCTCTTTTTGAACCCTCTCCAATTCTACTCATTTTGATGATCACAAAAGATAGGAAAGCGCAATAATAATAAATAAATAAAAACCAAATGTTTGAGAGTAGGAAGAATTGTGATTTTATGAACAAAGAGGTGGGTATATATAGAACATCTGAATTTTTCTTGGCCTTGGACCTGCTGATTTCAGATGCATGAAAAATTAAAGCTGCTGCCTTGAACTGTTGGCATGTTTTTGAAAATTCAAAGGCGTTTGCTGTACATCTATTAAAGCTGCTGATTCTTTAAAAAAAAAGCTGTTGATTCTTCACAAAAAAAAAAGCTGTTGATTCAAAAAAACAAAAAAAAGCTGCTGCCTGGCCAGATTCTTCATATAAAAAAACAAGCTGTTGCCTGGCCAGATTCTTCATATAAAAAAAAAAAGCTGCTGCCTGCCTGATTCTTCATAAAAAACAAAACTGATG